AATACAGGAAATTTAAATTATAAAATAGATTAAGAAGATAGGAGATTCTCATTAAGTTTTTGAAGTCTTGAAATTGATACTACACAGTATAACCATAGTTTCTTTTAGTACTTAAATGTAGAAGCATTTGGTAAAATCTTATTGAATGGCCAAATGGATTACTGAGTGAATAAATGTCTTTTATTTAAAGTTTCTTATAGGGTTTAGAGCACTTGTGCTCATCAGTAAGCAACAGAATGAGAGACAGAGAGAGAGGAGAAAAATGAGAAATCATTCCCCAGGGCGAAGGGAGAGGGAGAGCCAAGTTGCATTCCCCTTTCTTCCATTTTCCTCTCAGGTCTCTTTTTGCACAAAATTTTATATTTTTGAATTGTGGGTCCACTGTAATTTGTCACTGCTGAAAGAAGGTGTTAATATGTTCTGTAGAAATGGATGATGTTCTGGACCATCCCCAGGGCGTAGTGGTTAAGGGAACAGGATTCCACATGGCTGACTTAGACTTAGACCCATTGAGTCTTAGAGCCAATGACGTGAAAAGTATGCCAGGCACATGTGCAAGCAGGCCCAAAATTACATCAGGATGGGAAATGGAGGAGAAGGGATTGCAGTAGAACCACACCTCATTGGTAGGCGATTTCTCCCACTCCTCTGTCTCTCTCTCTCTCTCTCTAGTTAGCTTATGCACCCTCTAGAAAATTACCCAAAAAATGATATTCTCATATAAAATGACACTTCACTTTATTTTTTTAAAGACTGGCAATATTAATATCATTTTGTTTCAAAACATACAGGAATAATCTGCTAAAATTTGCAATATTCTACTTACCCATTTGAAAGTATATTGCTTTTCTTTTTTTTCCCACAAAACACAATCTCAATACTATTGTAATAGTGTCACAAAATCTCATGCAAGTTTATTTAAGTTGTCTTAAACATTGATTTAAAAAATCTTTTTCAGGGAACCAGCAGTTAGCGTAATGGCTATGTCCCTGGACTCCCATGTAGTTGACCGCGGTTCGTGTCCCGGACCCGGTGGCTTAAAACTCACGCCGGGCACGTGTGCGTGCGTGCCCAAGATCCCGAGAGGAGAATGGAGGAGAAGGGATTGTGGCGTGACCATCCCCCCTGGGGGGTGATTTCTCGCTTTCTGTCTCTATGTCTCTCTCTGTCTGTCTGGCAAGCGCACGCACCCTACAGTGAAAATCTCTCAAAAAAAAAAAAAAGAATCTTTTTCATATGTATGTATACACACACACACACACACACATATATATATATGTATATATATATATATATATATTTACACATACACCAAGACAGAAATATAAATGATGACAATATTAATTTTTATCTTTAAAAATAGTTTAAATTAAATTTTATATGTGACTTTATTAAATCCATGTTCTATAAAATGGCATGGCATTTTAAAAATAATTTGTGTGGTCTTAAAATTATTAAAGGAGTATACACACAAATTAAAATTATCTACCTATAGAAAAATATATAGACAAATATATGTATACATATACCCATATACTTACCTATTCTTAACCAATAAATCTGAAGTCAAAGCTTGATGTACCGAGACCAGTAGTTGGCGTTATGGCTATGTCACTGGACTCCATGCATTCTACTGCAGTTTGAGTCCTGGACTTGGTGGCTTAAAACTCATGTCGGGCGCGTGTGTGTTCATGCCCAAGATCCCAAGAAGAGAATGGAGGAGAAGGGATTGTGGTGTGGCCATCCCCCACTGGGGAATGATTTCTCGCTTTCTGTCTCTCTGTCTTTCTGGCAAACACACACACCCTATAGCAAAAACCTCTCAAAAAAAAAAAAAAAGAAAACAAAACAAAACAAAACAAAAAACCTTGATATACCTCTAGAGTTGTATATTCTTTAGGTATTGGATAAGAGAGAGAGAAAATAAATAAAAGTAAATCAATGTCTTGTGTAGTCCCAAAGACTAAGGTCATATTTAAAGGAGGGGATTTATATTCAACAGAAAAGTGATGTGGCCCATTTTTTTTTTTTTTATCAAAAGTGTGGAGAAAGACTTATATTTTGTTCTACTAGTTTAAGAGCAATTTCAAGCTCTGTCAAGAAATATTTGCTTAGTGTCAAACAACTATTCTCTTCAAAATCTAAAAAGATTTGATATCCACTAGAGATTTTTAAAATTAAAATAGATGACAAACTCTCTGAAACAATTTAGCTGTAATTCAACTTAAAGGTAGAAAAATGGTAGCATGTCTGTCCTCTGATTTATGTGTAGTTTGCTTGTTTCCACAGGAATGACATTTTAAAAATTTTAGACATAGAGAAAACTGCCTGGGTTCTTTTAAATCAGGAATGATGTGCCAAAATTAGTCTCACTTTTATATACTATCTTACAAATATGCAAATTTCATTTATCATGCAGTTTCTTAGAATTAAAGAATATGTAAAATGTGGAAGATCTTGTATGCTTATAAGCCACTGTCTTAAAATAATATTTCAAATTTGACTCAATATGCCAATTTAGAGTTTCTAAAAGTATGTGTTTGATTTAATCTTAAAATATACTTTGACGATTCCAAATACAATTATTAGTAATTAATGTGACAAATTACGAGAAAAATATTTATGCTTTACTAATGCTACAGTATTTTGTAGAGTGAGATAAACATTTTCTTAGTGGGTCATTTTAGAATATTCAAGGAGTAGCTCATCATTTTTAAAGGGAATTGAATTATTGTATGCTTTTAAAAACTGATTTTAGTTTATTTATCTGGAGTCTTTCCATTTCAGGATGGTGGGAGTGGGTAGTACATTTGCTAAAGGTTATGTTTTGTTTTGTTGTGAGTAGAAAATATCCTTTTGGTCACTTTAGCCAAGGCAGCACATTTTTCAAATCAGCAATCTGTCTTCAGCACTGATAGAGAGAAATGCTTCGTATGGGTTTATTATTAGGTTATGGACTGATGTATACTTCAGCCTCAATCTCCTCTACCAAAGGGAGTACAGGTGCTGGAAAATAGTGACCACAAAATAAAAATATTCTATTTTTTTTCTTATTCACCAGCATAGTTCTCAAGCATTAGGTTGGTAGCAGTAAGTACTAATAACAAGCAGGCATATGAAAACGTTTCCATGTCCTATTAAACAATAAAACAAATCTGTTCCCTTTACTACTCAATAGCATTTGAAGGCTACTCTGTAACACTTCTACATATTTTAAAGTACATGCTACAGTCATGAGTGACAAAAATAACAATACCAACTCATACTCAGTTATATTATCACTTTCCAAGTTGAATGTAACTACGTTATAAGAAATCCCAGATAGTTCTGATTTCCTCAGAATCCTGGGAGACATTTGTGCAGATCATACTAAAGAACCTTCAATTAATGAAAATTTAACTGAATTGATTAAAAAAATTACTAATGAGAAGTGCCTTTTAAAATTTTCCAAGTGGAAAACAAAACAAAAACTATAATACTTTAAGACATTTACATGGGTGAGTGTGTGCATGCTTGTGTAGGCATAAAATAAAATATTTCACTAGGACACAAGAAAAGTACTTATGAAAATATTAGAGTCTAAACTACAGTAATAACCTACATAATTATCTGATACATTTCATTAGTTGTCATTAATTCTTGGTAGAGTAGAAAACAGATGGAAAGAGTAGGTGATTTATACATTATGTGAATAATTCATTTTAAAAATTTGAATATTTCTGTATGTTTACTTTTGAAATTTTTATTCCTTTTAGAAACACATTGATTATTTTATTTCATAAATAGAAATGTTATGTCATATTGAAAGTTAATTATTTTCAAATTATATTATAATAAATATGCATAAGGGTGTTGCCTAAAATATTTAGATATTGAAATAATGAATATTATATAAATAATATCATCTTATTTAATACTATAAGTACATCTAAAACATAAATATATTATATTTCAAAATTTGCAAATATTTTAGCAAAATGTCTTCCCTACAGCGTTAATTCAGCAAATAAATTTATGAAGTTAATATACAAATTTATGCAATCTAAAGGAAACATTTCTCACTCTATTTAGATACTTTTTGTTGAAAAACACATCACACGTTTTTACATTCTAGCAGTAGATTTATTAAATATCCTTGAAAAAATTACTTTGCAAAATTTATTATAATTTTTAATCCCACTAAAATTCCAAGTACCAAATTAGAGTTGAAAAAATATTAATGAACTTTTCAGCTTGCATTCTCTTCATTTATTGTGTCTGTAATTGAGACTTTTCATTAGACATAATTGATATCACTCACACACAAATTCATATATTATACGTATCTTTGTTCACAGTAATGTTCGATATTCTTTCTTTTATTACGATAACGCCAGCATTCTTACTTACTTAAACATATTAACTTTAAGAATTTTGAATGGCAATAGAAAGCATGACAGCCAAAGAAACTTGGCAAAGAGAAGAATACGAAATAATTTGGATAATAACACTAATTTGTCCCTCAACTAAATACCTAATGTTATTTTTACAGATGGGAAGTTCAATTTTGAATGACATTAAGTAATTTTTACAGATGGGAAGTTCAATTTTGAATGACTTTATGTAACAAATCATTTATTTTATTATGTTGTTTATTTTGATAATTTTTGTACATAACAATAATTACTTCATTGCTGATAGTCCATGATAACCCAAAAACTAAAGTCCTGGACCAACTAAAAGTATAAGAGTGATCCATCCTTCCATAGAAAAACAAGTTTTAAATCTTCTAAGATATAAGCACCTTTTTCCCCCTCCAAATGTGTCTTCTAGAGCAGGGAGAAATGTTCTCACAAGAGTTTTAGAGAAAATTCAAAACACATAATATTTTAAAATTTTTTATAATTTTTTACTTACGAAATGCAAACTATCAACAGTTTTCTTGAGCTTGTTTAGACATTATCTAGTGATTAAGGTATAATTTATATTATTCATCATATGGCTGAATAGGACAATCTTACCTGTGGAACTTGGGACTTTGAGTTTTAGAAGTTCTGTGGAAATTGATGCACAAACATCACGTTGGACACATGAAGAATAGTAGAAAAGACAGTTCTTATTTTGCTTCGCAGACTTCTCTGCAAACTTTCCATGTGCCTCATCACTCTGAGTTACAAATGCCTGTGCTTTTAGTACCACTGCACTGTCAGTATGTCACTGCTTACTGAGGGCTATTTTGGGTTCTCTGAGCAGAGCCAGGAACACTGAGCCTTTTGTGCAAAACATCATAAGGGCACTCTGATGTTCGTTCATAGTCTGGGATTAAAATGCAGACAGCTCAGCAAGTAGTAGGAGCTGATTCTCTCTTTTATTTTCTTTATCCTTACAGCAAGCAAAAGGAAAATAAAGTGCTTATTTGGCTTGAGATTGATAAGGAGGCAATTCAACTTATGTAAGAAGTCTACAAGTAGAAAGGATAAGCCCTTTGCTTGAGGATTAGCTGATGAAACAAATGATCAATTTAAAACAAGCACAAAAGTTACTGAAAGAGAAAAGATTTTCCACTGTGGATCTGTGCCTTTTGGCTGTTTCTTAATTAAGTCATTTCTGCTCAGGAATCTAGTAAAATATATAATGAGCCAGCAGGGTGTAAATGACAAGAAATCCTCTCCCTTAATTTATTTATGACCCAAGATGCTAATTGTTTTATTCATGTCTACAATTAGATTTTGTTAATAAAATAGTTATTATTATAAAATACATAATATGCTGTTTATCTCATCTATTTTTAGTTAAAATTACTCAAACTAGAAATAGGATGAAAATAATATGAACAGATATGAACAGTATTCTAAACAAGAAGTAATGTCTTTAAAACAACATTTAAAGCTTAAATATGTAATTACTGTGAGGAGACAATCAATCTCTACTATCCATAATACTCTTCAGTTTTGAAACTCACAGTTCATGTTCATTGTTTTTTGTCATAGCGAGGAAGAGTTAGTAGGAAAGAGTTGACATTGTAACTAGTGGCTAGTAAGAACTAGAAAGATTATGTGATGTCTGATTATGGTTATTTCTTCTTATAATTCATAAGAACTGAAATTTATTAGTTACATTTGGAAAATATATGTTTGGTGTTACTGTTGCCGACAGCAGATCCAAACAAAACTGGGCTTTGTCCTTTAGCATTCTGTACAGAGTGGCACTTACTAAATCCTTTCACTCAAGAGCCTGTTATTCCAACTTTTTGTTTTCTTTTTAAAAATGATTAAGGGTGTGTGCACA